ACTGTCTGGATCCCTACCCGGCGATGATAGCCTGGCGAAAGAACCTGCTGGAGATTGACCAAGGGGTTGCCAAATTTGTCGCCGCTGAGACCCTCACTGTTGTCTAACGTGTTCGCATTTCTCGCGTTCATTGATTGCGTAAGGCTGAAGCCATTTGTGTGTTGTTTGTTTTCCCATAGTGCCGTGCTTATCTCTCCCGAAAAGTCGTGTTTTTTCAAATATAAACGCATGTGCCGAGGTTTTACTTCTCTTTTTCTCTGAACCTATATTAGCATGCCCGCGCCCAACTTCACGCGCGTATAAGGCACACTAAACACACTTTTGGAGAGCTTATTTCGATATTTTGGTGCGGACGATCTGGCAACGATCGGAAGCCGGTAGACCAAGCCTACTCTAGTACAGTGGAGGTTCGGATGACGAACAGCCCCATCTGCTAGCATTTCAGGTAACGAGCGAGCTACTAATAGAAAATTTGTTTCGATTGATGAGTTTTCGCTCAGTTAACGAGCTGTCAGTGCCTGTATCCGCCGTTGAGTCTTGCTGCCGAGGCGTGGGTCCTTGGTGGCCTGCAGATAATCAGTGAGCTAATGCAATTTGTTTGGCTACGTTTCGCAAGACGAGCGTTTTAAGTGACGAGCTCGGTGCCGGAACGGATTCAACTTGTTAACCGAGGTTCCACGGTACGAGAATAAGTCTAGTAGAGGTTTCATGGGTGTGATAAACGAAACTGATATTTAACTTTTTTCGGGAATCAACTGAAAAAAATATATGCACCAATAGCATGTAGAAAAGGGAATGGGTAATTTTAAATACTGCAAATTAATAGCTACAAACGGGCGTAAAGGATGAAAGCCGAGGGCATTGATTCGATATTCCAGGCGAACTGATCCCAATCCATGAGGACTAATGACATTGAAAGAGAAAGTAGGAATCCGGCTTATGGTGGCCACCACTGAAGATATAATCGGAGTTGACAGCATTGATAGCTTAAATCCGAACGCTTAACCTGTATCGAAAGTCTAACTATGAATCTAAATCTTCACGCTAACCCCGGTCCCCAATCCCTAAGCCCAGTCCCTATCTCGAACCCTATGCCGAACGCTCATTTTATTTTTAACATTAAAGAGGCGCGTGATGGATGTTGAACGAGAGGAAAGGAGGATCAATTGAAGCTTGAACAAAGACTGGGCCGCATACGCGATCGGTATCGACGATCCCTTAAACCGAAACGTTGGGTTACCTGGGGCAGGCAATTTACATGACACTTCTTCGGCCCTCATAGTATTTCTCAAGAAATGCTAATTGAACGAAACTCT